CAGATTTGCTTGTTATGTGACTCAGCACATGAGTTTCTCTATGAAGTGGAGATGGTTCAAGCCTTCACCTACCCTGTAGAGTAAAGCTATGATGTTTAGAGATAATGTCCTTATCAAAGAAAAATTAGGCAACTCAGTAAACACCATATATTTACTACTATTTGATCCTTGTTCTTGAAGAGTTGGAGTCGACGGAAGCAACTACGTGTCCTGTTCACTCCTTGTTCCCAGTACCCGGAAAATTATTTCTCCCATTTCATCTCTACCTCTCACCGACTTAACCTTAAGGCAACTAATCTTATCCTGCAAAAATGAGAACTACTTGCTTTGCGGCTGTTTTTGTGTATTTAAAACACATCATTTAACATTCTGAAGCTCCGGGTCATTATATGAGCTCAGTCCTGGCAAATAGTAAATGGCAGTTATTGTTATCATATTGAAGCAAATACTTTTTAATATTACTGCATAGCAAGTGCTATACCTGAGACGTTACGCTATATGCTATAAGTGTTCAAATGTTATACTCAAAACAACAGTTCAAGACTCCGTGGCAATCACACTTGCCCGGGAAATCAGCAAAATGTTGCTGCTGCTGGTAACTGAAATGAGTCTGGAAGAATCCAGGCCAGCAATGCCACAGTGAGTAAAACATCAACAGGCAGAAAAAAAAATCACCGTGAGACCTGCCGAGATCTAAAAGGACAGGCCTGCTTAGGCAATGGGAAAAAGCTGTAGGAAGTTGAAGACAGGGCCTGTGGCAGAAGTATAGTAGGACATGAGATCGAAGGATACACTGGGAGCAGTTCTGCTCAATAGATGGTTCATTTGAGCACCTATTCTGGTTTCTGAGTGCTCCCCATGTCAAGAGGTCAGAGGTACAGAGATGCTAACTCTGGCTCAATGATTGGCGAGCTTTGAGATCTAGCTTAAGGAGAAAGATACAGCCTGAACTTTAAGTAGCTTTTGTTTTTCTGCCTTTTTAGTAGAACCAGGAGATGAGACTTCAGTCTTCTGCTGTACATCTACTGGTGAAGGACATTGTAAAAACAGGCCAACAGCTATAGTACTCTAAAGATTTTTGTGTGTCTCTACATATTGAAGGATGAGATCTGACCTGAAGGAGGAGAGGGCAAGAATAGGAAGGGGAAAGAATGAGAGTTACTAATCATTACCAAGTACCTGTCACCTGTTCTCCCTTTCTACTGCTGCCACGGCTAATATCGCTCATCTTATTATTTGCCCTACCAG